GCAGCGGAGAGGATGCGCAGGGGGGAGGGTGTCCAGGGGGGAGGATGTGCAACATGGAGAACATGCAGTGGGGAGGACGTGCAGGGGCAGGACGTGCAGTATGAATGCCATGCAGCATGGAGGCTGTGCAGTTTGGAGGGCGTGCCCTGTGGAGTCTGGGTATCTGCCCCGCTGCACCTCGTCACATATGGCCCATGTGCCTTTGGGGGTGTCAGGCAGCTGGTTTTGGGACTGCTGAGCCTCAGAAGGAGCTGTCTCTGCAGGAGATGCTCCGGAGGTCCAACCTGTGACAAACCCGCCCATGTCCAAGACCCCTGAGAGCGGCAGAGCCAGGCTGGGGAACGGTCATTTCCCCAGCGCCCAGCCCAGCCGCTGACCTCAGGGAGTGTGGCAGCCACGGGTCCCGACATATCCTTGCACAAAAATTAAAAATCTGCCTGTGTATGTTTACTTATGTTTTAGTTCCTTTATTTTTAGTTTACAGATGCTGTTATTGCTATATCGTCATTTCCATTTTACTAAGGACAAAGCCGAGGCTCCAGGAGGTTAAAACACATCTACTCACAGAACTACTGCTGGAGTCTGGAATCCCCAGTGCCGACTGCACACCCAGGGCTCTGGGCTGCGTGCTGGGTTTGCACACGGCTGCTTTGCCTGCACACAAACCCCACTGTGCACTGTGCCTCCACTGCTTGTTGTGAGAAGATGAGGTGTCTTCCTCCCCGCTCCCTGCCGGGGACTCTGATGACTCTGCTTCCTGCTGGGTCTGTCTCGTGGTGGTGATGGAGAGGCCCATGGCAACGGTGAGGTTTTCCCGATCTTAGTCAATGCTTGGGGAACCGTTGCCCTGGACCACATAGGCACGTGGAAGCATTGCCTTCCATCTTTAGAGACTGCTTTAGCATTACACAGTCCCAAAGAAGCTAGGATTTAGGCTCCAGGGCACTCCCCCGAAATCTTCACAGATTTTAATTTAGAAGCATAAAGGAATCACACTCTTTAAATTACCAAGCTGAGGCTACAAGACACCAAAATAATTTGTCAACTTTGATTGAAATAGATTTTAAAAACTCAGGGCTCGGCATGGTGGTTCGCACCTGTTATCCCAGCACTTTGGGAGGCCGAGGTGGGTGGATCACTTGAGGTCAGGAGTTCGAGTCCAGCCTGGCCAACATGGGACACCCCATCTCTACTAAAAATACCAATAAAAAACAACAAAAAAATTAGCTGAGTGTGGTGGTGCATGCCTGTAGTCTCAGCTACTCAGGAGGCTGAGGTAGAAGGCTGCTTGAACCCAGGAGCGGGAGATTGCAGTGAGCTGAGATCACATCACTGCACTCCAGCCTGGGCAACAGAGTGAGGCTCCATCTCGTACAAAACAAAACCAAAAAAAACCCCAAAACTCAGGCAAATTACAGGGAAGACAAAAACACCCCAGCTCTTTTCTTTGTTCCCTCTTCTGCCGGGAGTGTTCTGGGGTATAAGTGGCGATGCCACCTGAGAGGGAGGAGAGATGAGGCCGGCCTAGGAGAGACCACGTGGACACCAACAAGCCAAGCGGAGAAATACACACAGTCCCCAACACCAAGAAAGACTCATCACGCACAGCAGCTGTTTTAAAGAATCCTGCTCATGGGTCATTTAATTGGTACATCTGGGGAACGAAAGCATTCCAAAGGAGTCTGCAATTCATGCAGCGGTCTGCTTTTGGAGCTAAAGCCAAGGCAGAGAAAGGCAGGTGCCCTGCAGGGTTGCCCATTCTACCGAGAGATACCTGCCTCTTCTAGTCCAGTTCTCCTTTTACCTCCATGGAGAGAGACAGCTCAGTCCCCTCGGGGTTCTCTTCCTGGGGATATTTTAACGAAATAATCATAGCGCGGGACATGACACCAAGTGTTTGCACACCACAGTGGTCAGCATTCGTGGCAGCTCCATGAGCAAGGGGGAGGCACCTGTTTCAGGAGCGGGAAGCTGAGCGCCGCCCGTGGCCCACTTCTCTGTGCTCACCGATGCCAGTGGGCATCTCACGCACCGTCCAGGGGTGGCAGCCCCAATGGCCGCGTCTACACTGAGGAGCCCAGCAGCCACTGGCCACATGGAGCTGTGTCAGCTTAAAGTACTCACAAGTACACACAACCAACACTGGTCCTTCAGTCACACCACATGCTCAGGAGCCACACGTGTTCCGTGTCTGTCACATGGGACAGCACAGATGCAGAACATTTCCACCACCTCAGAAGGTCCTATTGGACTGTGCCGATGTATAGAACACCTTTGACATAAGCGACTCCATCTTACATTTTATAGGGCACTTTTTCAACAGGGACCAGGTGTTCTCCCTGATCAATAAAGACTGCATCGACCCAGACAAGGATTTAGGTAAGCACACCCTTCCACTATCAGTCCACATCAGAGTACTCTGTGGCCATAAAAAGAGCAAGGCTTCAGCAGCTCAAACACAGCCACGTTAACAGACCGCCCTGCCACCACTTGTGATCAGGGCCGAGCATCTGCGGTTGAAGGCTCTGCCCACAGCAAAGCCTCTTCCTTACAGGACACTGA